CTGTTTGAGTTTATAAAAATATTTAATAAAAAATAAATTATTAAAAATAAATATAAAAAAATTAAAAAGTTTCTAAAAAATAAATAAAAATAAAATATTTTAAAAAATGGAAATGGATTTCGGTTTCGTTTCAGTTTTAAAATTTCCATTTCGGTGCACCTCTACAAATCAGTATGCATTATTTTGCCCATGTCAAGCTGATGATAGCGTATTGGTTTGTACTACTGTCAATCATTGTATGTTATATAACCCACATAACTGTCATATTGATCCCCTTCTGTAGGTCCCTCTACACGTTTTACCATTACTTCTACATGCTGACCAACACCCTCTTCTACATCAGCTCGGCTGTGAATCCAGTCCTTTATAACGTGGTCTCCTCTTCTTTCCGAAAACTCTTCTTAGAGACCCTCAGCCCATCCTGCAGTAAACACGATGGGAACTTATCTGTAAAATTAGGTTCTTCCCATATTGGACCGGACTGATGTCTCTTCCTCTCTGTATTGTATGGAGTGAGGATCTTCTGAGCACACTGGACAAATATTGTTAAATAAGGAGTTACATTAAGTGTTTAAATGGCAGATTAGTGCATTCCAGTCATTAAGGTCACACTTATATTGAAGTCTATCTGTGCTGTACAGACCCAACATAGTGGTCTGGTTGGTGTTTGATTTACAGGATCAGTCTACCCAAAAGAGAAAGACCCCTATCATACTGGTTGTAAGTTAGTGGAGCTATGTACCCGGGTATAGATAATGTGCTGCTAACAGAAATAAGGAGCCAGAAGGAGAATTCAACTTACCAATATCTCAGTTTTTCGGGGAATCCTATAAAGATAAGCAGATGTATTCACAAAAGGGTGAAGAGTTAGGAGAAGAAAGGAGAAGTGAATATAGGACAATATAGCTGATTTAGAACATTTATCCAATTCAACTCACTTTCCAATTCAGCTATGTTGTCCTAGATTGTCCTAGATTGTTCCCTTCTCCTGCCTTCTCCAAACTCTTCACCCTTTTGTGTATAACCCTGATATAGTTTACTAGTCTACTGTCTATAATATTCCAGATAATCTAACTGGGACATATCCTCTTCCTTCATTGCTCCGTGGTCTGTTACAAAGAGCTGTATGTCTGAAGAGGTATTGGTGAGATTTGGGACCGTGATCTTTGATTACACCTGAAAATAAATTTATTTATTCTTATGTTTTTTTTCCCTACTTAGAGAATTGTCCAAACAAAGTCCAAACAAAGGGCAACTACTATGAAGATACAGAGCTTAGTGGTGCCCAATACTCTCTAAACACTCTGCCTTCACCTCCTTTTGTCTAAAAACAGCACAACCTATGATAAGCAAAGCCAGAGGAGTTCCCAGTGTATTGTGGGAGCTGAACAATTCACCCTTATTTGACTAGGCGAAACATCACAAGATTAGAAGGAGCGGCCGCAGCCGCCGCACACAGTAAAAAATATACACTGCCTGGCTAAAAAAAATCCCCAACTGGATATAATGTTAAGATCTGTGGATGCTTCATTTGGTCAGGTATAGGCTTAGCAACATTATATCCCCAAAAACTGTCTACCTGAATATACTGAATGACCAGGTTTTTCCATCAATGGATTTTTTCTTCCCTGATGGCACATTGGGCATATTCCAGGATGACAATGTCAGGATTCATCGGGCTCACATTGTGAAAGAGTGGTTCAGGGAGCATCAGACATCATTGTCACACATGGATTGGCCACCACAAAGTCCAGACCTTAACCCCATTGAGAATCTTTGGGATGTGCTGGAGAAGATTTTATGCAGTGGTCTGACTTTCCCATCATCACTACAAGATCTTGGTGAAAAATGTTTGTGACTCTGGATGGAAATGAATGTGACATTGCATAAGCTTATCGAAACGATGCCATGGCGAATGTGTGCCGTAATCAAAGCTAAAGGCCGTCCAACCAACAAAATATTACAGTGTGTGACTTTTTTTTTGGCCAGGCAGTGTATATAATACTGTCCACATGGGGGGTTTTCTGTCTCTTTTGCTTTCTCATTAAGGACAGCATATATTCTGAAATGATGATGGGTATGGCTTGCTGCTTTAAGGCATAAACAGTAGAGTTCTTATTTAAACAGTAACTTTGGAGAACACCGAGTTCTTATTGTAATTTTTCATGTGACTTGCACATTTTTGCTATGTCTGCCTTCCACGTTTGGATCATTGTATTTCATATAAAGATTTGTAAATGCAACTTTTTGTGATCATGTGCTCCCTGTGACATCTATACAAGACATGCAAAAATTCTTGCAGGTGGAGTAGCTCCAAGGAGGGATCAGCAGGGTGTCTTAGCTAGGCATGCCCCCAAAACTACATCTTCTAAGAGTCCTTTTCCAGCACATAGTGCAGTGGTGGCAAACCTTGGCACTCCAGCTGTGCCAAAACTACACATCCCAACATGCATCTGCCTCTGGGAGTTATGTCTGTGGCTGTCAGAGACTTGCAATGCCTCATGGGACTTGTAGTTCCAAAACAGCTGGAGTGCCAAGGTTCGCCACCACTGACATAGTGTGTAGGCAGACTCTTGGAAATCAAGGCAGCAGAATTGATGTGCTGGGAAAGAAATCAATGTATGCACATGAAGAGGGGAAAGGATATGTGAAGTGTGTAGTCTATTAAAGGAGAACTAAAGCTGGGTATCCATGTTTATATTTTCTTCATTCAACCTGCATGCTGAACCAGTGGCCTAGCGTGGGTTGCAACGCCCTGGGCAAGGCAAGAATTGCTCCCCCCCTACCCCATGGACCATTAGCACTCCCTGAGTATCGGTGCATCCCTAACTGTACCCCAATAGAGGCCTACAAATCCCAGCAATATACTATACAACAATGAAGAATAGCACCAGCTCTAGATGACTACAAATCCCAGCAATACATTATACATCAATGCAGAGTAATACCACTGGCTATAGAGGACTACAAATCCCAGCAATACATTAGACAGCAATGCAAAAAAGTATGTGAATTTGCTACATACTCTGTGCTGCCGCTCTGCTCTTGGGGGCCGGCCTTATGTCTCAGGCCGAGTGTCTCAGCAGGGGCAGATGCGGAGGGTCTCAGCAGGGGCAGATGTGGAGGGTCTCACCAGGGGCAGATGTGGAGGGTCTCACCAGGGGCAGATGCGGAGGTTTGCAGCAGGACACATGCGGAGGATTGCAGCAAGGCAGATGCAGAGGATCCGCAGGGGAAGATGCAGAGGATCATCAGGGGCAGAAGGGAAGGATCAGGAGCGGTGATGTGCGGGCTGCTTAAGGCCTGTGCGGGCCAGTGTTCATTTTGACAGCAATTTTCGATGTAGTTTTAGTCATAAACTAAACAGCTACACCCAGGGGCGTATTTACC